TTGGGGCCGATACAAGTTGAGTCCGACGGGGGTGGCAAAACACAAGTAAAAGAAAAAAAAAACTCACGAGACAAAAAATTACCGATAAAAAAAATTAACTTTTATATCTAATGTCCGTTACACAAAGAAAAATTGTTCTTATTTCCCGACCCGCTCTGTGGACTATGGCACCAAGCTTCTATCATACAACTTAAAGATTTCGAATTGCCTACTCTTCAGAATTATGTATGTCGGAGTGTGGTCTAGTTCGACACTGGGGCTAATTTCTGTCAATCATTCGCAGTTGATTCTTCCCTTCGACTTGAGTTGTATTTCTTCACTTCGATCTGGTTGGGTCGAATTCTGTTCTCGGCTGGGCTTGATTTCAACTTCTTCTTCTTCTTCCGTCCAGTAACTCTTTGGCCTTGTCTTCGACTTGGCTGCAACTTCTCCGCGGCTTTCGAGTAATCGTCGACTTAGATGGAACTTCTCTTGTCTTCGACTTGGGCTGGAAGGATTTCTTGTTTTCGACTTGGGCTGGAAGGATTTCTTTGTTTTCGACTTGGGTGGAAGGATTTCTTGCCGCAATTCAGCCGCAACTCTGTCGTCCGAGGTGGTCTCTTCTCTGCCGTCCGGGGCTGAACTGATTTTTGTCGATTGGGGTCCTGCTTTTATTGACGCCGCAGCAAACCGGGGTGGGTCTGTCGGCGTCAGGGCTCTCTCGATAATCCCAAAAGTCGCATTAGTTCTGATTTCCCATTATCGCTATTATTTTCACCCCTACTTCCTCACAGTGCCTCTGGGGGAAGACGCATACCCATCTCTCCCGGTCTCGTATGTCAGGTGACCGTTTTCGACCAATGGTTCCGGATCGAACATTCCTCCTCCTCTTTCCGCATGCCACGTGACCGTTTTCGACCAATGGTTCTTGATCGAGCATTCTCCCTCCTCTTTCCGCATATCACGTGACCGCTTTCGGCTAATGAGACTGTGGTGGGACGCCTCCCGTCTCCAATCGGGCGTGGCTTACATCGTTCTTGTTCTAAAAAAAACAAAATCTAATTTGGCCTTTTTTTCGCACGTACGAAAAATGATAATCTTGGCTTTTTTTCTCACCTGGTTCTGTCAAAACAGCCTACCGCTAATTAGATGTGACTTCAGGAAAGAATATTGGCGCTATCTGTGAGCCGAGACAATCGTTTTTTCACCCCTTTGTTTTTGGTCAGACCTGATAGTCAAAAATCTTAATTATCTGAATTGAAAATGTCTCCCCTTCATCATCGTGGGGTTCCAATCCTTAACAGGTCAGAATCTGTATACAGTTCCACCTTTCACCCCCTCAACCCAAAAGACACCTTTCCTCCGATTAAAATTTCGTTTTCATTGTTCTAACAAAAAATTTCCCTTTCTCCAAATTGATAATGAGTCTTTCTACGCAAAAGTCGGTCATGTGCTTCGACCGATATTTTTTTTATTATCAATACACTCTTATCAAGCATGGTCCCTTCCACTCTCTAAATGACTTTCCCTTCTAAATAACAAATCCCTATTGTTTATCGAAATTCGGCCAACATGTTGGCCAAGATATCTTTCTGACACCTGTTTTCACTAATGACTGGGTCATGCATCATCCATCTCTTTCATTTTTTTTCTTTTTTCTTCCTCTTTCTTTTTCTTTTTCTTTTAGGATCGTCTAAGTACAACTTAGTGAATTATTTTCAACACAATTATTCTTCGTCTAAAAAAAAACTAACAACCTGTTTAATAAACCGAGTAAAAAAAAAAAAATTAAATCATATTTCTATGAATATTTCTAATAATGCAAGGTGCCACAAAGTGATGAAACGTTAAGTTGCACTACAAACGTAGATATACGTATATTTTTTTTTTATATATATATATATATATATATATATATATATATATATATATATATATATATATGTATATATGTATGTATAGTCATCCACAGAGAGACTGTTTGCTGTATCACATTTCCTCAGTGAGTCTAGACGTCCGATTGCTTCAAGTCGGGATCGAAACCCGACTAATTTGACATCAATCAGATATATTACTAGGCATCGTCGCACGGCGGAAAAGAAGGGAATTTTAACGTTTTTCTCTACACGAAATACGCCAGCGGCTCGGAAAACTCAATTCATACTTGAAGAGTAATGCTTAATAGCAGTAGGAGCCACTGCTTTTTGAACACTCTTTCCCTAGAGACCTCAATCGGATTTCTGGAAGCATATAATCATCCACAGACAGACTGTTTCATTGTATCACAGCTCCTCTGTGTGGTTATATATATATATATATATATTCATGTATATGTATATGTTTTCACGTGTAGAAATATTGTTTTTTATTGTTGTGTTGACGGATTCAATCATTTTCTTTTGTTTTCTTTGTACAGTTGTGTACGTTATAGTATTTGACGTAATTTTCAGTTTACAATATAAATAAAAAATTACGAAACTGTTCACCGTAATCTAATGTTTTAATAATTTAGATATTTTGGATTTAAATTTATTGCAGTTACCGGTCTTATATTCTGATAATGTTGTGTATAGAGATCAGTATTTACAAAATTCGTCACGTTTATATACACACACACAGAAAAAATCAAAATTCTTTTTAAAATATTACTATTTTCTGAATTATAGTAATCTTTTCCATTTATGATTAGTAAGTATATTTTTTACTTAATTACAACATCAATTAACAAATTAATACAAAATTTTAACGGTTTTAAAACTGTGTATATTATTCTAATTAAAATTTTTTAAAAAAATTAAACAATTCGTGCAAAAATTCATTATTCATCGAAAAAATGTTTTTCTTAAGACCATAATATATCTTATTCATAAAAGAAATGAAAAGATTTTATAGTTAAAGTTTTATTACATTTTTATTATACGATTCAGAGCACATTTTCTGTAACTGGATATCCTGTTTTAAAAAACAAATCGATAATTTAAATTCTCCAAGGAGTTCTGCTGTACAAAAACTTCATAAAATTAAATAAATAACCGGTAACAGATCTTAAAAAAATATATATATTTTTACCAAGATTTTCTGAAAAAGAAATATTTCAAAAATAATTTCATTTATTTGTAAATGAGCCCTGAAAGTTTCATTAATATCCGACAATTATTTGACCTTTGTAAGAATTTCCAAATCAAAGTGTATTTCGCCGTAAAAAAAAAAAGAGGCTAAAATGTCCCATATTAATTCATAATCCAGCGCTGACGCAAGAAAAACAAGATTTTTAACCAAAATTTCGAACATTCTAAAAAGGATCAAAAATATAATTTAATAATAAAAAAATCCTTTGGTTTTTCCTTTTAATAATGACATAGACATTTTGACGATAAAACTTTGTTTTATTAAATTTTCGTATTTTTTCATCATGTATACTTATTATTTAGCAAATTTTTGAAGCTATATATATATATATATATATATATATATATATATATATATATGTATATATATATATATATATGAAGAAATATAGTCTTAAGGTGTGCTATATTTATGGGATAAAGTGCTCGATATCAGAGATAGAGCGTGTGCAAATATAAAAAGTGAACATAGAAGTCAACATTTTAGAGGCGACAGTCTGTTTCATGCTATATGCAATCGTCAGGCCACGATTGCATATAGAATAAAACAGACTGTCGTGTTGACTTCTATGTTCACTTTTTATATTTGCACACGCTTGACTTTCTATGTTCACTTATATATATATATATATATATATATATATATATATATATATATATATATATATATAGTTAAACCTCGAGAACCAAACAAACCTACTTAGGTTTAACTAGTCCTACTACTTACCGTTTTGAGCACTTTATTTAGTTATTTTATCGGTTTTTTTTTTTTTTCTTTGGGCTTTGAACTTGCATGCTAGACGATTATTTTCGGCTGACGTACATATTCTTGGCTCTTTTTTTTTGTACCTTTTTTTTCCCTTTTGTTATTGGTTTGATTATTCGCAAATCAAGACACCGAAGGTTTTTGCGGACAGTATAATTTCTTATACTTATAAGATTACTACTACTGCTAATATATATATATATATATATATATATATATATATATATATATATATATATATATATATATATATACACAAAAAGAGATTTGTACCCACAGAAATGAAACATAGATTTAAATAACACGGACGTCATAACTTAGGTACTTTTCGGCCAACACTTTTTCAAAGGTATTCGTTGTCGATCGGGAATATAAATGAAGACACTCAATAAAGCAAATGAGGAGGGAAAGGTGGAACGTGATTAAATGAGAAATTTTAATTACACACAATTAAAATTGAACAGGGGTGGGGTGAAAATAACAAGTTCCACAAGGGTATAAAATGGAAAAAGAGACACTCACAAACCCTCCAGCAAAAGCAAGGAACGTAAAAAAAATGTTCTTTTTGTCTTCACGGGCTCGGCTGATGAAACTTTATAAAAACAGCTTCCATGACTCGGAGATGATATACCGAGCGAGCGCTGTGTAATACTGAAAAACAATTGTCTTCATAATCAGAGGCACAAGCATGGTTGTCGAGCAAATGCTGACCGATAGCAGATTCATGGACTGCCTGAGTAGTAGCCATCGATCAGCATTTGCTTGGCAACGATGCTTGTGCCTCTGATTATGAAGACAATTATTTTTCAGTGCCGACACACACACACACACACACACACACACATATATATATATATATATATATATATATATATATATATATATATATATTATAAGAGATTATAATAAAAACATTTTGAAATAGCTGCACAAAAACTTCAATGTTTCAATATTTTCATTGTACTTCTTCAGGCGATGGTAAGTAACTGGTGAGTAAATGATTTTTTAAGGAAATTTAAAAACAAAGTGTTACCTTTTTTCGGAAGTTAAAGCATGTGATATAATACCAGAATTAAAAATAGACTTGTGGGTATGTCTTGATTAACCAATTAAATGCCAGATCTACGCTAAATAGAAAAGAAAAAGAAGGATGGCGCCCGTACTGTTCGCGCTTTGTCTTGATCAAAGTTTCCTAAATCGTTGGATAGGTTGCGGCGGACTGTTAGCACGGCCACCACCCTAACCTGATCTGACGCCCTGTGACGTCTGGTTATGTGCTATGAGAAAGGATCGCGTGTATAGCAAAAAAAGTTAGAGACATCAAAGAACTCAAGAACAGAATAAAAGGTGCAATATCAAACATTCCCTGTGAAATGTCTGTCAAGGCACTAAATTTTACTGTTGATCGCTGGTTTTTGTGCATCAATCGTGCTGGTGGACAAGTGGAGACTGTTCAGTAAACTCTGAATAAATGATTCCTCTTATACTAGTGTTAACATAATTTTGACTCACCCTATATATATATATATATATATATATATATATAGTCTTAAGATGTGCTATATTTATGGGATAAATTGCTCAATATCAGAGATAGAGCGTAAACATAGAAGTCAACACTTAGAGGCTCTAAGTGTTGACTTCTATGTTCATTTATAAATATATATATATATATATATATATATATATATATGTAAATCCATTAATTCTTTAGAAATTGCTTTGTCTACGTTTCGGATACGAAAGTAAGCAGATATGACTTATGCGAAAATCGTGACGAATGCATATGCTTAAAGGCAAAATGGAACATTCCTTGATTGTGAAGCTCTTCGTAGCCGGATTTGAAAATAATGAAACTGTTAACATAATTTAAAGGAATAGGTTTATGTCAAAATATATAACAACTACAATAAGTCATCTACATACTGTATATAAGAAAGTATAAAATTATGTAGAAATTATCTGTAGTTGAAGTTTGTGTTCAAAATATATGTAACTGAAGCCATAAAATTACATACAACATATTTAAATCTCTGTATTAAATAACCCATAGAGGTGTTGATATGCCGCTAAACAAAACCAACTAACCCAATCTTCGCCGGATGAGACGTTGGTCCCTGCTGCAAAGGGCGCACGGAAGTTCGTCTACTCTGATATGGGTATCCATTAAAAATAACGTTCGAAGTGATAAAAATACGTCGAATTAAAAAAAATATAATCTTTTTAATTCTTTAGAAATGGTATATATATATATATATATATATATATATATATATATATATATATATATATATATATATATATATATATATATATATATATGCAGTAATGGACAGCGTCTCGGATTAAGGAATCGGAGAACCGGGTTCGAATTCTAGTTGTGTATTCGATTGACTTACGTGCAATAGGCTTGGGAAAGGTATGAATCCATCTATTCTCCCTCCCAACTATTAGTAAATAGCAGTGTAGACTGGGCCCTATAGCCTTGCTTGGCAACCTGCCTAGGAAAAAGAATAGTTTCGGATTCAAAACCAGCCCAGAGAGAGAAATACTACTGCTAAAAAGCGGTAATATATGAGGTGCCCTTCGACACTAGTAGGGTCACGTGTTAAAAAAAAAAGGAACACACACACACACACACACACACATATATATATATATATATATATATATATACGAGAGGTGCTGAAAAATCCTTGGCCCAACCCACTTCCCAAAACTTATCCAATATCAGTGTTTGGTTGGTTGGTTGGTCTAAGAACTTTTCTGCGCACTTCAGGAGCCGTTGTCTATTTATTTAAAAGCTTTTCCTTCATTTTCTCCCTGTCATGTTTTTTCTTTCTTTCTCTTTTTTCTTCATATTTCTTTCTTCCTGTCACCATTAAACCTTTTCCCTCAGTCTTCCTCTTTCTTCCTTCCTTTCTTTCTATTTTTCTCGCTTTCATAATTACAATTATCATTTCCTATATTCTTTCTTTTCTTTCTTTCATTTTTTTTTTTTTTGTTTATTCATTAAAAATATATTTCCTTCCTTTTCTTTGCTTCATATCTTTCTTCAAGTTTGTTTACTATTTTTAAAATATTGTTTTGCCTTCTTTTTGACTTCTTGAATGTTCGGGAAAGATTGGTGACTCCTGTCAAATTTCGTATGAATAAATTAAGTGAACAGTGAGTATGAGAAACAAACGTGAATGGTAAAAATGAAAACGTAAAGCCTGAAAAAAAAATAATCCAAATAAAATAAAAATGTTGCCAAAGTAAAAGAACATGTTTTCAAATCAAGAAAGATGGAAAAAAAAGTAAATTGGTTGCAAATGAAAATAAAAAGTGAAATAAAATAAATATCGAAGATTTGGCAAAAAAATAAATGACAAATATAGGTCGTTGTAAATATCGGAATGTGACGCTAATGGTTATCAAAGGAAGGAAGGAAGGAAGGAAGGAAGGAAGGAAGGAAGGAAGGAAGGAAATCGTGGGAGCGGCAAAGTGAAAGAAATAAAAAATATCAAGAAAGTAAGAAAAAGAAAGAAAATAGTGCGAACGGTGTGAAAGAAAGAAAGAAAGAAAGAAAGAAAGAAAGAAAGAAAGAAAGAAAGAAAGAAAGAAAGAAAGAAAGAAAGAAAAAGAAAATGGTGGGAGCGATGTAGAAAAAAGAAAGAAAAAGGAAAGGAAATGGTAGGAGTGGAGCGAAGGAAGGAAGGAAGGAAGGAATGGAATGGTGGAAGCAGTAAGGTGAAATAAAGGAGGAAAAAGAAAGAAAGAAAAAGAAAGGAAATAGAGCGAACGGTAAGAAGAAAGAAAGAAAGAAAGAAAGAAAGAAAGAAAGAAAGAAAGAAAGAAAGAAAGAAAGAAAGAAAGAAAGAAAGAAAGAAAGAAAATGATAGAAGCCGTATAGAAAAAAGAAAGAAAAAGGAAAGGAAATGGTTGGAGTGGAGCGAAGGAAGGAAGGAAGGAAGGAAGGAAGGAAGGAAGGAAGGAAGGAAGGAAGGAAGGAAGGAAGGAAGGAAGGAAGGAAAGAAGGAAGGAATGGAATGGAATGGTGGGAGCGGTAAGATGAAAAAAAGTAAGAAAAAGAAAGAAAGAAAAAGAAAGGCAATAGGAGCGAACGGTAAGAAAGAAAGAAAGAAAGAAAGAAAGAAAGAAAGAAAGAAAGAAAGAAAGAAAGAAAGAAAGAAATGGTAGAAGCTGTGTAGAAAAAGAAAGAAAAAGAAAAGGAAATGGTTGAAGAAAGAAAGAAAGAAAGAAATGGTAGGAGCTGTGTAGAAAAAGAAAGAAAAAGAAAAGGAAATGGTTGAAGAAAGAAAGAAAGAAAGAAAGAATCGAAAGAAAGAAAATTACTTTCAAAGGAAGAAAAGCAAGATATGAACCTAATGTAAAAAAAAAAAAAAAAAGATGAAGAAAATTAAGAAGAAACTAAATCTTTGAAAGAATTCTCCAGAGATCGTAGCAAGCCTCACATATCCACTTGATTGCCTATTGCGGCGATGATGAGTGCAACTCCCGACAACAGGAAGAAAGAAAGTCAACCGGAAACTAAATAGGTAGCCGTAGAGCATGTGTCGTTAATCTAGAGCCTTAATTAACAAGTGAATAAATGTTCTATGCATACCAGTTTAAATATTTTGCCATGTTGATATATGTTTGTAATTTTTATTATATTTCTTCCTCATAATTTTTTTTCTTTTTGATGTTGGGATATTTTCCTATATTATTGCTACTTCAGAGTTGAGTATCTTATAAGTGGAATAATTCAATTTTAACTCGTCGATCTCTTATTCGCGTATAAACAAACAGAATCTGCAGATTTTTCACAAATTTTGATTCGATTAATAAATGTTTATGTATTAAATATATATTAAAAAAAAAAAGATGGCCGATATCTTATAAATTAAAATATGCCACGTTCAATCACTGGGAAGTGATGTCTCGTGATAAATTTCTGTCTTCTTTATTTTTCTGATAATGGATCGGATCGTAATACCCGGCTATTCGTAGATTACGATAAACATAATCACAGCAGTAACTGACCCGGGGTCGCTGATAAGAGTTTTTCGACGTCACAACATAGGATACGCAGATGACGTTGTGTTTATGGCTGACTTACAAAAAAAAAAAAATAAAAATAACTGCAAGAAATCTCAGGTAAGGCTGTATAAGAAAACTGAAGAGAACTACTAAAAATCAGTTGCAAAAAGACAGAATATAAGGTCGTTACGGAGATAGACAGGCCAGGGTGTGAACTGGGAACATCAGAATCAACCAGGTACAGAAATGCAACTATCTGGGAAGTGTTTTAACAAACGACAGAAATCTGAAGGCGCACTGCAATAAAGTAAAATACTTTCCAAAATCTAAGCAAAGTATAAAGAAACAAGAAAATTTCGTTAGAAACAAAGAAAAGAATGCTGAACTGCTATGTAATATCAAACTTCCTAAATAGCAGTAATACAATTAAACAAATTGCATTACTTTTTTACTCACCCTCGTAGTAATCGTCAGAGTAGATATTTAAAACCAGTTTCTCGATAGCGTTTCATCGTTAATCTAGAACAGTAATTTTTAGAACTTTCATGTTCACAATCCACATCAAAAGATGCCTTCCAAAAACTAAGCAAAGTATTAAGAAACAAAAAAATTTAGTTAAAAACAAAGAAAAGAGTGCTGAAATTCTATGTAATATGAATCCTCTAATATGACAGTGAATTCTAGACAATTTCCTCACAAATGAAGAGACAACTGGAGGGTATAGAAATGTGGTTCTACAGAAGGATGCTGAGAATAAGATGCACGGAGTGAGAAAGCAACTTAAGAAACTTCTAGGACATATAATGAGGAAGTGGGGACTTCGAAAATTTGACACTCATAGGACATATCAAACACAAAAAGGACAGTGTCGCCTACATGATGAACTTATGTGAATGGATGGCGGGATGGGGAGAAGGCTGGATGGTAAAAAGACAGACGTTACTAAGAGTTGCAAATTATAGGATGTGGAGAGCCATGATTCTCACGTCCTGAAGGGACACGGCGCATTGAAGAAGAATGTCTTCTACGGATGTCTTATTGTAGTCGGTAACGCATTATGAAAGAACCGGAAAAGATAGAATTTCTGCTTAATTCCATGAAAAACAGAACGTCTTCAGACAAGAATTTCATTGATAAATTATAAATTGGAGATGCAAAAATCAAACAAGCACAACTATTTAGAAGGATTATTTACATTATTTAAATTGTTCGGACTGTTGTACTCATCTTTATTGTCATATTCACGACGTTTCGGTCGTTGTACGCACCGGCCTTCTTCCTTATTTTAAAAGATTATTTACATTGTTCGGACTGTTGTACTCATCTTTATTGCCATATTCACGTTCCGGCCAGTGGTGCCCACCTTCAAAGGAAAGAAACGATTGACCCTCCCAAGGAATTCACGGCACCCGACCTCAATGGGTAGCACATGACATGTCCCTCATTTGTCATGTAGAAAGTTATCATCTGATGGACGCAAAAAGTCATCCTCATTTTAAGCATGGTGGTGAAAACATTATGCTTTGGGGCTGTTTCTCTGCTAAGGGCAGACTACACCGGGTCGAAGGAAAGATGGATGGGGCAAAGTACAGGGAAATCTTGAGTAAAAACCTCCTTGCCTCAACCAGGACACTGAAGATGGATCGTGGATGGGTGTTCCAGCATGACAATGACCCAAAAGCAACAAAAGAGTGGCTCAAGAAGAAGCACATTAAGGTAATGGAGTAGCCTAATCAGTCTCCATAAATAAATGTCATAACAGAAAACTGTGCCTTGACGCGTTTCGTGAAAAACACAACTATTTAGAAGGATTATTTACATTGTTCGGACTGTTATCCTCATCTTTATTGTCATATTCACGACGTTTCGGTCGTTGTACGCACCGACCTTCTTTCTTATTTGAAAGTGTTTTAACAGAGGACGGAAAGTGCGATATTGAAATCTGAATATCGCTTCTCCTATATTGTGTTTAATGCTGTACAACCTTCTCACGGATGAAGAAGAGACTTGTAGCAACAAAAATGTAGTTCTACAGAAGGATGCTGAGAATACCATGGGCCGAACATATGAACAACAATGAACTTTTAGAGAAAATGAAAACAAAAAGGGCACATATTTAACGCTAGAAAGAGACGGCTGGAAATTCTAGGCCAAATAATGAGGATAGAGGACTTAGAAAATTTAATATTCACAGGGCAGATTGAAGGAAAGAGGGACAGAGGAAAACAACACACAATCTACCGGGCTCGTTTAAGATAAAAAAGGAAGAACAAGTTTTAGGAGCGATAAAAAATGAAAAGGTTTATTAAGAGCTACAAATAAATGTCATAACAGAAAACTGTGCCTTGACGCGTTTCGAGAAAAACAGAACGTCTTCAGACAAGGGTTTCATTGGTAAATTACAAATTGGAGATGCAAAAATCAAACAAGCACAACTATTTAGAAGGATTATTTACATTGTTCGGACTGTTATCCCCAACTTTATTGTCATATTCACGACGTTTCGGCCGTTTTACGCTCCGGCCTTCTTCCTTATATTAAAAGATTATTTACATTGTTCGAACTCTTGTCCTCATCTTTATTGTTATATTCACGACATTTCGGCCATTGTAGGCAGAGGCAGACAGACAGACAGACAGACAGACAGAGGGATAGATAGAGAGAAGTAAGAGAGAGTCAGCCTCTATAATGAAACAAAGAAAAGAATGCTGGATTTCAATGTAATATCAATCGTCATATATTGCAGTGAATGGCGAACAACTTTTTCTCACAGACGAAGAAGAAACTTGAGGCCGCAGAGTGTTATGGTCTGACAGAAGGATGCTAAGAATACCATGGACAGAACATGTGAACAATGTAGAAGTCTTAAACAAAATGGAAATAATAGGGACTGTATTTAGGATCAGAAAGAAAAAAATGAAATATCTTTTAAAAAACGGTTTAGTGCAGGTGTGTCAAACAGGTGGCCCGCGGGCCGCATGCGGCCTTTTACATGCCTCTTGGCGACCCTCACAAAGGTTTCCATAGCCGTGGTATACCGAGAATTTTTGTTGAAGGTACCTAGAAGCAGTGGGTACCCGGGTTTTTTCATATCTTCCTTAGACATTTAAGAACTTCAGAAAGTTTGCCACAAACATTCTGGTGATGCTTGGTTCCATATATGTCTGTGAGTAGTTATTTTCGTTTATGAAGGCCACAAAAACATCTCGGAGAACCAGATTAACTGAAGAACATTTGTCATCTTTGATCAAAGTGTTATCTACACAGACATTCCAACCTGATATATTGAGAACAGCTTGTCTAAAGCGATGTCACTCATCAGGACAACATAAAAATAATTAAATTGCATTATCTTGTAAGTATTTTGTATTTAAAGTTTAGTTACCACTAACTGTGATTAATGTAAGACTGTAAGCAGGTGCGGTCCACGGGTTGACCCAAACCTTGTGAGTTAAATTGGGAAGACGGCACTCTTGATAGCTGTGCTAGCACGAAGTCACAAGTCATCGTGGCCGCGGGCTTGAGCGTGCTGGCCTTGTTCAAATTAGTGATCACGCTAGATAATACGCTCTTTCTTAGAAACTAACTAAGGTCTGTTCAGCATAGATGCAGTATAAACCAAAGGTGGGCTCTGTGGGTGTTGAATAAACACAAATATACCTTAGCAGACAGTTATCCTCGAATACGAGTTGCCAGCTACACGCACCACACACACACAAACAAACATATATATATACATATATATATATATATATATATATATATATATATATATATATACGCACTACATTTCTAAAGTTTGAGACCACCCCTGGTAATTTTTTAAAAATTAGCCTAAAATGTAGTTGTTTTGTACTTTAAATAACAGAAAATTATTATACAGTGTAACCCGGATATAAGAGAAACCCGGATATAAGAGAGGTTTTCTCTGGTCCCAAATTAGAGCCTGTGTTAATGTGAACAAAATAGACCAAACCCGGATATAAGAGAAACCCGGATATAAGAGACTTCTTCTCCGGTCCCGACAACTCTCTTATATCCGGGTTACACTGTACATGGCTAAAAAAGTGAGATGTGATTTTTATTAGAAATTTTATTATGACAAAATGATTAAATTTTGCTCTCGTCAAAATATCCTCCTGTAGCCTTATTACAACACAAATTTTGGCATTTGTTACAAAAGATTCCTAAATTATAAGTTTTATAACTGATTCCATCCTTTTTTGAATGACTCTAAGAGCTCTTTTTCATTTTGTTTTTTTCATTCTTCTGTCAAGTTCATCCCATGCTAATTCAAGGAGTGGCTTTAAACTTTGAATGGTAAAATATATATATATATATATATATATATATATATATATATATATATATATATCCGATGCGATGAAAACGAAAGTAATATATAAATTCCAACGGTACCGATAGTAGAGCGATAATTATTTATTTATTATAATTTTATCATATCGACAAAACCATTTTACTCACTACAAAGATGCAACTTGGTTTCAGTGCATTTCATCTGCACATCGAC